GGAGGAGCCTAGAGAGGGATGAGCTTAGAGCGGGAGGAGACTAGAGGGGAGGAGCTAAAGGGGGAGGAGTTAACGGGGGAGGAGCCTGTTCTGTTATCTTGCCCCTCAGACCGGACGTTTCTGGTCTGACCCAGAAACTCTTCAGGATCTTCCAAACTGAGATGGAGCTCTATTCCTCTCCTGAACCATTACAAACAGCTGGACCCGACCACAACCAGAACCTGCAGTGGCACCAACTCACCGTGGATCCTCATCTCCAGGTAACCTCTGACCCGGCTCACCAGGTCGGGCGGCGGCCGCTCCCGGCTGCCGTCGGCGGCCTCGTGAGCGCGTACGTCCAGCAGCAGCGTCTCGTTGAGCATCACCTGCCGCAGCTTCGGAGAAAACTCTGTGACGAGCTCCAGGCAGGCGGCGAACAGCTGGCGGGCCGGGCCGAAGTCCTGCAGGGACACAGAACCGGTTCTGGAAAACTGGCGGATTAAATCCTGGGTAATCCAGGTGTTTGGGATTAAACCTTTATGGAGATGCAGTGCAGAGCTTTGGCCATCAGGATGTAGACCAGATCTCGGGTCAGGCCGTCTTTGATGGCGAGGACGGTGCCGATGTAATCCGGAGGAACCTCCCACTGCGGACAGACAGCAGCTGATTGGTTCAGAGCGTCATGGTTACCGTTAGCAACCAGGCGGGAGGGGGGCGGGGGCAGGAGAGGCTGACCTTTCCGTTGACCCTCCAGAAAGGTCGCTCCGCCAGGCCGTGGAGCTCGATCAGGATCTGTCGGATCCGGCGTGGGTCCAAGGCCCGGATCAGCTGCTGCTCCAGCTGGCCGATGTTCACACTGGCCGAAGCTGCAGAGCGAGCAGAACTGGATCAGCACCAGAACCGGGCTGAACAGAACCAGAACCGGCTCCCTACCTGGGATGTCGTAGAAGGACGGAAGCGGCTTGGCGCTCAGGTTGACTCCACCCTTCTTCCTCGTCTGCTCCATCAGAACCTTGCGGTCGTCGTCCCTCAGCAGCTCCAGGAAGAGCGGATGAGACGTGACGGTCAGAACCAGAACCCGGTCCTCCAGGTTCTCACACAGAGTCCTGCAGGAACAGCAGAGACCCGGTCAGAGCCGCCACAAAGTTCTGCTCCGACTGCTTCTAGTTCCTCCAAACTGATCCAAGCTCAGCGCCCAGCAGCAGCCAGAGGGTCTCCGGTTGCTATGGTGAAACCACAGTCTCCGGTTGCTATGGTGAAACCGCAGTCTCCGGTTGCTATGGTGATTCCCAGGAGAGAGGGGGCGGGTCTCCCTGGGATAAACTCCGAGGGTTCTGATGGAAACGGCGGAGCTGCAGCGGTCCAGTCTCTGGACTCACCTCAGGAAGGCGGCGGCGTTCCTCCTGGCTGACGGCCGGTCCCGGTCCAGAGAGCGGGAGGACACCTGCAGCGGCAGACAGCAGCGCGTTGGCTCGCCGTGCGCCAGCGAAGGACGGGGGTCCGAACCCGGCGCTCCTTACCTCCAGCAGGAAGTCCACGATCCGCTTCCCGGGCTTCAGCAGCAGCTGCTGGAACCCGACGCTCAGAACCTCTCCGTCCAGAGCGTCTCGCACCGCGTTGCACACACACAGCTGGCGGCACAGCGAGTCCAGACCCGGCTCCCTGCAGAGACACCGAGTTGGACCGGGACCAGACCGGACCAGGACCAGGACCGGACCAGGACCAGGACCGGAGCAGGACAAGGACCAGGACCGGACCAGGACCGGACCAGGACCGGGACCGGGAGCGGGACCAGGACGGGGACAAGG